AGAAAGTCAACAGCCAGCTTTTCGGTACGAACATTTGAAAATATAGCGGATTATTTTGTACCTTCTTTCCTTCGAAAGCTCTCACCTTTTCACTATGACACATTCGCGGTTCCCAAAGCGCGTCAGCGGTGCCAACCTGACGTCAGCCGAGCCCAGCTCACGCATTGGACACGAGAACTGCGCCACTCGGACGTATGCGCTCGTCAACAATCAATCCGTAGACGAATATTTAGATTCGCACTCGTGGCCAATGAGTGCCCTGACGGAACTTATCGTCACTGGCGACCGACGAGTTCTATGGTGTGCATAAAAAGCACGGTGGAAGCTAGGAGTCATCGAACCGGTGCCGAAGAACGTCACGACGACGTGATTTCACAATTCGCATTTGAGTTGAGGATTAAAGCTAAGGAGGAAGAAGTAGGAAAATCGTTCCATGACCCCTTTAAAGACTCAAAGCCATTACATTAGGTTGTACTACAAAACCAAAAGAACGTAGAATACTGACATGAACCTCGTGAAACACGATAAATGAAAGATATAATGCACCTCGTTAGCTCTCGATATGAATCAGGACACGAATGAACTCAGACTCCAAAATATTTCTACGTGGCATTTAGCTTATTCATACTTGTACAGTATTCCCTACAAGTAATCAAATGACTAGTTATCGATTACTTTTGGTAGTAATCTTGTAATCATGCGAGTGTAATTTTTAAACAATCTCGCGAGTATTTTAACTACTTTTGGAAATACTAAATGTCCTTGTAACCAACACAATTTCCCCTCCTTTTTCTACCGGCGCCCTCTCGAAGCAACCAAGATATCCTCGAACCAAGACTTCGACAAGAAAGTGTTTCACCGAAATTTGGCGAATTAAGATGATAAGTAGCTCGTAATACGGTGATTCTAGTCTAATAAAAAGCAGCACGAAGGACCACCTTTTAAAAACGGTACAAAAATGTGCAGTTCTGAATATTTGAAGTAATCAGAAAAGCAAGGCTTACTTTTTCGAGTAATGGCCATTTATTTTACTTCTCAAGTAATACAGTAATCGAAATGGTTACTTTTTAGCCAAGAGTCATTGTGATATTAATATACTACTTTTTTTTTTCTTTCCTCAAGTAACGTGTACAAAACTGAGGATGCTCCACTATCCGTAAAACATACAAAATACAAAATCCGAAAAAGAAACAAAAAGAAAACGACGAGAGTTTTGTTCTGCTAGACGTATTTTATGCTGCAGTTCAGCACAGCTGTTTCACGGGCAATTAAAAGACATTAAGAGCGAACTCCTTTCCAGAACTCGAGTGTGCGCGTGCTCCTGAGCGCGCGTATGGTTCGCTGATACCTCGAAAGAAAAGGTGGAATCTCCGACAAGCGCCGAGACAGTCCGCGAAGGCGATTCTCCGGCTCCATTCATTTGCCTCATCTCCAGATGACGGGACACGCGTCTTTGGACGGCCGCTCAACAGGCACGGCCCGTGCTTCTTGAAAGGCACTCCAGCGTTCGATTTGCCTGTTTCCGTTTTTCCACGTAAATTATGCCAAGACGACCTTCCTACCTCCAATAACATTTCGGCGTCTCGCGATCCTCCAGTATGCGCGCGCAGCTAAAGCACGGCGGAAGGTGACAAGCACGACGGAAGGCAACAGGCGCGTGCTGGAGGTTAGCGGGCGTCCGAAAGAGACGCCTCGCCGTTCTCATTCATACTGTCAGGAACTACAGCAACGAAACGAAGGCAAAATTATGCCGGGCTCAATAACAAATTTGTATGGTATAAAGAAGAAGAAACACATCTTAGAGTATCGGCAGTTTATTTGGAACCACGAAACGCGCAATCCAGTCGCGTCAAATCAGTAATAAATGAGGGCTACCTAAAAGCCGCAACGTGCCTCGAACAGATAAACAACCTAACGATGCCTGACGGGTCCGTATTCACGACGGCGGAAGCCCAAGAACAAAACGAGGAAGTTACGCTGTCGGCGTCAGTGCAGACACGCGCATGCAGGTACGACACGCGGACAGGCAGGCGAAATGTAAAGGCCGCTGGGACCAATCAGCACGGAGCCGTCAGCGCCGCCAGTCAAGGCCCCTCTGCCGGAGACAGCCTGACAAGTAGCAGGCTCGCCTTCGCACTGTCAATGGAGTCTCTTGCCGACCACGTGACAGGCCCCCGGCACATCGCCGCCGGTCGACAAATCCTTTCCGCTAACGAACGCTTCCTTCCGGTCTCGCGAATACAATAAACGACCCGGGAAAAAGTTGTCCGTCCCAGCGGCCGGAAAGAAGGACAAACATAAACAATACGCCGGTCTCTGCTGCGCACACGCGGCGGCGCCCTACTCTTCCCCGAAACGGGGTGAGGGCATCTATCGTTCCCGCCGAGCTTCGTTCGATGTTCTACGCTTATGGATGCCGCGAACGTTCGCCGAACCTAACGTTTTACTCGTTCGGCGAACCTTGGAACGTTTAGCGAAATTTTACGAATTCGGATTTTACGAATCCGAACTAGGGCGCAGGATCTAGCCACTCGCACAATTTTCCTCAATTTTCTGCGCTCGCTTCGCTTTCCACCGGCACTCCAGCCTTCGGCACGACTTGTGGACAGTGTTGCCCGACTGCTAAGCAAAACTTTCAAATTTTGAAGAAAAAACAAACTCATAAAGTAATTTAATTTATATATATATTTTTTTCTAATGAGTACCAATGTTTGCATCATATGAAAGCAAACATACGTACTTTTTAGTGCTTTCAGAAAACATATTGATGTGGAACAATGAAAAATATTCCCACACATTATTGCACTCGTAGGCGGCGACAGCTCGTTTTTGATTTCCGCGCGTGCACATGATAGTCGCACTTTCGTCGAACTTTTCGAAGTTCACAGTTTCGATGTTGGGAGTTCGACTAGGTTCCAATTTTACGACTTCCGTCGAAACATTCGAACCTAGCCGAACTCGAACCCCACCGAGTTTGCGTCAACCCTAAAGTTAAGCCGAGGTCACGCTACCAATACATCTGCAGACGCTGTCTGATGCGTGTTTCTTCCTTCTATTCAGGTCCTGTCACACATTGGTCATGGAAACACTTGTTGATACAAACCAGAACTGGTCTACCACTTTAAACAAAAGAACGAAACAGTGTCGGTGAGTTGGCTTTCCTGCAAAAACACAAAAACTATTTAAATTTTTTTTTTTTTTTTACGCTTAGCAACAGTAGCGAATAACGAAGGTCATTATACGTAGATAAGGGACCGCAATATGCGCTGGGACTATCGTTCGCCGAAATATAGAAAACGAAATCACTGTTCGGACAACGTTTCCAAAATGTCTACACTTTGGGGTGAGAAGTCGGGCGAAGCTGTTTCACGAGTCGAACTTGATCGAAATTCGCCCTAAAGTTGGAAAGTCGGCCGAACCGGTCGAACCTCGACGAGGTTCGAGGAAAGTTTGCAATATTTCTGACCGTCCCCCGCACTTTCGTGCGATCTGAACAGTCCGAATCGGACTGCTCAAGCGTGCGTCGAGACCCTGGTCTGAAAACCGCGTGTAATAAAATGAAATGCTGTAGAGTATTCGCCCACCGTCAGACGTGTTTACGAGTAGCGTATCTTGCGGAAGCATTCTCATAGCAGCTACTCAGTTGCAGTGAGAGAACCGCGACTGTTTGACGTCGGCGAATCATCACATCCACCTCAAATGAGTTTGTGTATTTCTAGGTATAAGAAAACGTGCCATAACGAAACGACCCGACCAGGTTTTCGTTAGGCAAAAAGGCAAATATAAGCATATAAACACACCTTAAAAAAAAAAAAGGAAAAGAAAATTACGGATGTAACAAACTATATGTTTTGAATCTAAACATAGGGCACGAGCACAATTACTAGCACCGTTTCCACAAATGAACTAAAGTAGCCTCAAACTCTACACATTACAATGTTTTCCACACAAAGAACTAAATTCGGTCATGGCAATCATTGCGAGGAAAGTAAAAGGAAAATGATTAAAACCATTATCTTAACGAGAAGAAGCTCTTATTTCTTGCGGCTTCCGGGGGAATGTCGAGCGGTACTTTAGTCTTTTCGTGAATCTCCTCAAGCCGTTCACCAGTAAACATAAGAATGCATCAAAAACGAAAAGAAGAAAAGATGGGCTTAATGAGGCTTCGAAAATTACGCGTAACGATGACGGAAACACAAAAATAACTTTTTCTAACGGATAGACGGTTCCGATCGAGATTTCCAAGCTCGACGTAAGAACTCCTCCTCGAGTTCGGAGACACTCACTGGCGCAGCGGCATCACGCGAAGCGAGTTTCATCGCCGACGTAGAAAAGCAAAGGAAAAGCCTCCCTCGGGGGGGAAACTATCATTTCTCCTGCCGAGCCGCGCCGCCAACTGTGACGTTCCATCAAACCGGAGCAAGAGGAGCGGAAAGTACACACGTACACGTGAGCAAGAAGTGGTATTCCCGGTTCAACATCCGAAGATGCACCAACGCCCCCCGGGGACGTGGACTCCTCTCCTCGGCTGGAGTAAAAGTTCCGTGCGTGCGCGAGCCCGTGACAGCCTTCTGGTGTGGTCCCACTTCACGAGCGCGTGTTCACCTGGACCGCCTACCGCCATTCACCAGTCACCGCTCGCAGATTTTACACCTCGGTGGTTAAGTAGTAAAGACGTTCATCATTCTAAGAAAAAAGAAAAAAGATGGAGTATTCGAGCGTTCGCTCTCTCCTTACGTTTTGTTTCCGTAAAAGTTTTCACAAAGGTGAAATACTATCGGCGCGTGATGAGTATGAGTCGATGAACAGAAACATCTGTACCGGCTGCGAGAGCAACAACAACGAGGACACAACATCCAAACGCGGCCGCCGGAGGCGAGTCAGCTGCGGCGAGCATGCGAATCAAGAACAAGCCAGGCGGCCAAGCCAAAAACGACGCGAGGAGCGCGCGGCGCGTCGTCGGTTCGCAGATGCAAAAAGAAGAGGTGAGAAGTACTCACGGAGGTGGGACGACGACGTCGCGAGTCCGACGAGGACGCACAGGGAGCCGAGCAGGACGAGAATCTCTCGGTTGACTGCCGACGACGCTGACAACAATCCGAACGGGCGCGGCCGCGAGGCAGCAGCCGCCGCTGCCATGGCACACACATGCACGCACGCCGCACACCAGCAACGCCAACTCAAGCGCTCCGCTCAAAACACTCGGCCAACTCTGCGCGTTCTGCCTCTCGGACCGAGCGCGCGCGCGGCCGACGAGCGATGCGAGGATACTTTTTTTTTTTTGCGGGCCGCGCCGACAGAGGCCGCTGGGACCCCGCGTTTCTAAACTCGTTTCTCCGCGCATGCGCGGGTTGTGAGGTCACGTGACCACGCCGATTTGGAAGGCGGTGAGGTGTAGTGAAGCCAGCGGAGCAGGCGGTGAGCGCGGACGGAGAACGAACCAAAAGAAAGGCTAGCGGCCGCAGTTCAATTTCGGCGGGCTCCTTCTGCAGGCTTCGCACTCACGCGAATATTTATTTTCTTCCCTTTCTGATTCCTTGTTTGATCTAGAGGCGAACTGTCTCTGGTTTCTGCTTTCGAGCACTTTTTCTTCTTTTTTTAAAACATTTTTTGTGCGTGTGAATGTGTGGATGTGTCTGTGTGGGCGGGACGACGACATTTTCGCGCGTGAATGGTGAAAAAAAAAGTTGTGCCTTTGAAAAAGTCAAAGGCACCGCTGGTGGCGGACAGGCAGACAGGGAGTGCAGTTGCTTTGTAGCTTGTTGTACTTTTCCTTTTCTTTTTTTCTTCCGTTGGCCTTTAATATAATTCACGCTCGGGAACGCGTCCTTCTTCGATGGCTCTCTATACTTCGCTGTATGTCGGGTTTTCAGATATTTATTTTGTAGTCTACGCCTGAGCTTCAATGCCGCCAAAATTTTCGGGAATGACGGGGCTAAGGAGGGATGAGAAAAACGAGCAGGAAAGACCCTTACGAGTGCGTATTAAACGCGAGAGCTAATGAGTAGGTTTGCATCGCAGCACAGCGTCGTACCTGCAAGAAGAAGGGGAGCGAGGAGAGAAGGCAAAGAATATCGCACCCTCGGTGAAGCTCCTAATGATCAAAATATTTTGGCAATGACATACAAAAAAACTAAATAAAAGGGACAGAAGAACAAACAAATAGCCTAGCTGTCTTAAACGTACGTGGGCGCGCACACATATTTTCGTTGCTGGGCTGAAGAAGGCTGATCAGCCTGGGCTCGTACCGTACGATCGGACCGCCACTGGCAAAACGTTTCTGCGAGGGAGAGGCTGTATAATAAAGAGCCCGAAAGCGGTTTTCTTACATACGCGCTGAAAGGTTGTGCTTACCGCCAATCGATCACCGCGAACGTCCGCATCAGCGATTTGCTCCATGGGCGTTTATACTGACATTCGCTAAGAAATATCAAGTTACAGGCAGTCTATGGTCACGGTTGCCGTTCCTTGAGAAAGAAAGAAAGAGAGTGTGCTGGATTGTTTTAAAGTATTAAGCCACAGTGCAATGTAGCGTCCGTCATAAAAGAAAAGAAACAAACAAAAGAAGACGGAAAACTCGAGGCTTTGACTGAGTGACGTCTATTTCACACATACACACACGCACACGCACACACACACACACACACACACACACACACACACACACACACACACACACACACACACACACACACACAAATGTTCGTATTACCTCAGGCAGAAAATAATAATTTATCGAGATAGGGTCACTGAAAATTTCAGACACCCAGGGCGCGGATTATTATGCACTCTTAGAAAAAAGGGTCAGTATAGTCCTCCCTAAAGGGAGGAACGCTCTTGACACATATGTTCCTTCAGAAAGGGAGAAACTTTCGTCCCTTAAGCAGGGGAGGAAAAGTTCCTCCGTCGACTGCATCTCATTATGGCGGCCACGAATCGAGCAAATCGAGCTCGGTAAGGCTTAACGAGAACACTAAGTCTATTGCACGACGCGAGAGGAGCAGGAAATAAAAACGTAACACGAGCTTTCCGCGAACTGTATTTATTTCCGAAGTTTCTTTACCCCTGCAGGTAAAGAAACTTACGTTTCGAAAGCATGCAGTCACTCAGTCAATTCATCGTCAGCACTGCGATGTTCAACGGAGACAACCGGCACTCAGTTCGCGCACTTTATGTCCTACCTTTGCTATTCCTCGAGCCACAATTCCTTCGTCAACCGTTGCGTCCAGTGGTTTCGTCAACCGCACACCACGGAGGAGTGAAAATTATTCGCCCGCAAAACCAAAAGCTGCTCTCAAAAAAAAAAAACAAATCCGAAGCAACCTCTTGGCTTATCTCACTCAGCACGGTAACACGAAATTATGGCGTAGCCGCGTAGCGTAAAAGGATGTTAAATCGCTTGCCACCAGATGGCAGGGTCAAACAGAGTAATCGCACGTAGCTAGGCTAGGTGGCGCTATATACCGCCCAATTCATGTTTTACAAAAAATATTTTTATTTCCTTACGCCACAATTGCGTTTCCTTTTCTTCTGAATCTCTAACACATGTGGACACGTTGCGCACACTACAAACATCAGGTCAACATATATTGAACGCATACACAGGCATCGCACATACAAACATCAATAGAACAGCACACTACCCCGATCACTACTACCGAGCCCTGCGTTTCCGTCTTTTATAGTGGTCGTTTTGAACGTACGGAATTTTTCGGTGACTCCCTAAGCAAAAAAAAATATTCCGAACATGTTCATTTTTTTCCAGCAATGTCATACATCTGAGGCTATCTTTAATGGCTCAGGGGATGAATCTCTTATTAAAAAGAAGACGCTCGATCATGCCATAATGATTTGAAAGCCAATAAATCGAGCCGCTCCAATGTGGTTCCAAGCCATGAGTTTGTTTTCCCGCATGGCCCTTCGTAGCCAGTATTTATATTGTAGTGTTCGTTTTTCTATTTGTGCTGTTCGCGCAAAGCTGCAATTGCCGTCTTGAATTAATCTCTGTAGAGCGGATATCCCCTCAGCTGGAAGTGATGCTTCACGGGCACAGAAATCGCTTTTCGATCAACTTGAATGCAGTCAAAGCCGCGACTTCCGACAACTGTTAAGTGTACGGAGCTGCGCCGTTGCGAGCTCGAAAACTTCTAGCGCTCATCCCAGCGCGCCACTTAGAGGGCAGTTTCTACAGGAACCGTAATATATTTAAACAGTAAAATAAAGGATAGCGTTTTTTTGTTTTCGATTTTGCCAGTCTTTTTTTTTATGCTAAACTTCCATTATAAATATACGTCCTTTCCGTCATACTTTCGTAGTGTTGTCATTTCCCCAGAGCGCAATCGCTCTCGGGGACCGACAGTCACATTGGCCACTGTACGATAGGAGCTTACCTTTCAGACCAGCGTTCCAACATGACTATCCACACGTCGATCAACTGCACCTAATCCCTCAAGTGGTTTTAAACTCTTTAATGTAAAGCGGAATGTCATCCTGCGACACCCCGGCCCCTCCGATAACGGCCCGACCAGCGGCATCAATGCCCGACAGTTTACGTCATCTCATCTTGTTGTTACACCACTGATACGCGAACACACGGTCACATCGGCGATAATTCCAGACTTCTGTTCACAACCCACAACACTGCCATCACGATGTCGCTGACACGAAGAAATACAGAACCACTTTGACGATGTTGCTGACACGCAGAAGAATCACGTTGAACGCCGGTTGGCACTCGGCACGGGACAACGGAACCGAACTCAGCACGGAAGGCACCCAGGCAGCCGGCAGGAAAACCTGCCTTCCTTGGACGCAGTTCCCGCGATTTCCATAACGTCGAAAACGTCGACACAGTTCCTCGTGGTTTCGCTGCTGTAGCTCCGCGTGTGTCCCGCAAATTGGAGACGGCCGTCTTACCCAGTGTATGTAGCGCAGCTGGCACTGCTCCGGAACTTCGCTGTTTCTAGCGGCTTCGTTAGCTCGTTTGATAAATTAGTGGTAAAAACGTCAATGCAACCGAAATGTTCTGCACGTTTGGACTAGAAGACGGAATTACAGGCGGCCTTCGCTGCCGCTGAAACTCAATCAACTCCACATTAATTTATTAAACAACGTGCGCGATGTGCTCGAAAAACGAAACCGAAAGAAGATGGGTCGGGAGGGCGAAAGCGGCGAAAGCTTTCTCCGGTCTGCCTGGAGGAGGAAAACGTCTCGGAGAATAATAAGGACTTTAATTTTCCTTTCATCGGTCTGGGTTTGTTTATGTGTGTTTTAGTAAACAAAAAAAAAAAAATTTACAAAAAAAAGAAAAAATAAAAACCACTTTCCTGGGGATCGAACCGTTGACCACTTGGTCAGTAGCGCGATGTTCTACCCCTGCGCCAACTGAACAAGGAGGAACCCGCCCTCCTCCTTTCATCTGAACTGCCGTTCCTCCCTTCTCTGGGCAACTTGTCCGCGACAAGGAGGAACAGTCGCTTTTGCTACCTTTCTCCTCCCTTTTTTCTTAGAGTGTGTTTATTATGCTCTTATTTGCTAATTCTGCAGCCTCAATGGTTGCGCAGCTATAATATGGTGACCAAGACTTAACACACCCTGAGTTTCTTAAAAAAAATGTCACTATGTTTTGAGCGACTTTGTTGAAAGAAGGTAGCCACCAAAGACCCAAGGATGATCAAATATTTTTAAAACACGCCAACATATCTCCTTACCCCAATGAGATTATCATTTGTCAGCTGGGGCGCGTCTTTAAAAAGAATAACGTCGCCATTCAATTTAAGCAGACTCTTGTAATAACTTGAAGCTCCCGAAGACAGAAAAGAACGCGAGCCCACACGAGTAGAGGCTGATTTCCACATTTTCGTTTCAGTGTGATCCACTGCGCTAGACCCGCTTGTATCCCGAAGGACAAGACGCCATCCATCAGGCCTGGAATACTTCCAAACCGCGTATGACTGTACTGAAGGTTTTTCGGTATTCGCAAGATAAAAATAAGACTTATCTATCCGAAATGGTTGTTTCAAGCGCGGGGCGAAAGAATGATGCGAAAAATACAAGCAGGATCGGATGCGTTCTAGGGCTACACGGCAGGTGGCGTCAGTGGGTTCTCTCCCTCAAAAAGAAACGATAGCTCGTTCCTCGTTGTTCTGATTTTTGGAACGCGTTCCCGTTACAAGTTCCACCTGCGAGAAAGGAACTCGTTGCCGTTTCCGTTTTAAAAATGGAACATATCGTTATATATTTTCCCTTCTTTTGTATTGTGCTAATTACCTTATTTACTTAGTTCCAAAAAA